TTTATCGTCTTTAGTAAACAGACAAATGTGAAACAGATGTAGCCGGCTCTATGGTGTCTTAAAGTCTTTAATTTCGAGTTCACTGGGATATCGAGTGGACATATGAATGGAAGTAACTGTTGTTTATTGATAAAACGCCGCCTGTATCTGAATATTAACTTGAAAACCACAACAAATGTTTTCTTTTTCTTATATTTTATGCACACATTTTATAGTGAATTAATTGATCAGAGAAGTCAATGTACAATTAAAGAAAATGTTTTTAAAAAATCATGGAAACATTTCAGTATAAATGGTTTTCCTTTAGCCTTGGTATGTCTAGGGAAACTGCAGAGAGAATAAGTACATTTGATCTTAGCATTCATTTTTATACACATGATCTTGCGAGCAATAAGCCCTCATTAAAATTGGATCAGAAAAGGATATGCAATCATTTGATAATGTGAGGAATAATACAAAAGTTTATAGAAAAAACCAACTTTAATCACGATGTTTGTTTACAATTTTTGTGAAAGCGAATAAATACGTTTGATTTGAGCAACTATTTCTTATCAAGCATTTTTATGTTTTTACGAGCAATCAATCTTCTTTAATATATAGAATTCAAAATGACATATTCTAACGACATCTACATTGCTTTAAAAAGTAAGAATAATTGAAAAGAATAATAGAATGCTTAAGCTATGAATTTTGAGCATACTGCTCCTACTCGTACACTGCTGTGTTCTTTTCATATAGACCATATTTTTTTAAAATAAAAATTTGATTCCTTAAGTAACTCATTTAATAACTTTTATTTTTTAAGAAGGAATTTCAGTCTTAGATCAAGGAATATTCTCCCGATTGTATTTCGTACTATATTGAACCGTTTACAAGACTGAGTCCAAATTTTCTGATGACTGACATTTATGTTTCAGAGCGGTTTAAAGGCATATTTATATAAAATTTTACACAAAATCTATCTAAGCCTTCTTTTAAAAAATGGCTAGAAATTGTCCGACTTAAAACTTAAAAAAAAATTTCAAGCTCCAGAAAACGGTATATTTTTTTCTTTCCTAAATTTTTCATCCCGTCAATAAGTATGTTGAAATTTTCTGTGGAAAAATTTCGTACATACCTACCGACCTTATATTTCACCCTGAGTCGAGAGAGGGCTAATAAATTTTATTTTAAAGATGGCCTTAGTTTATAATATTAGAGTCAAGCGGCCAAGGAACAACTTCAGAAATTGTCTTAAAAGGGAACTTATAAGTATAAGGCATTAAGAAATAATCAAAAAGGACAAATAATTTCAATGTTCTCTTAAGAGCAAATCTGTAATCAGGGAATAAAATTCGAAAATTGAGATGTGGAAACGGATGCATTGGATGGGTAAATAACCCCCCTTGATAGACTATAGCTAACATGACCTTTCCTTTTTATCATGTAGACGAAAAAATCCATATTTTTTTTTTTATCAAAAGCAATGACGTTATAATTTGTATAGAATACGTCAGTCAAAATACGGCACAATGATAGGTTATGTTTGCAAACAAAGTCATCTGTATAAATGACCATAGAATTAATGAAATACTGATTGTAAACTACGATTTTGAACTCCTAATTGGAAATTTAAAAAAAAAAATTAAAAAAAAATGTGGGGTTTTTTATGCATCAAATATAAGACATTGTTTACAGCATATTTCATGTTAAGCTAAAACTTTATTCCTGTAGAATTTTGAACCAAATAATCAGTTTGAGCAATGGAAGAAGTTTCTCAATTGAATAAAGGAAAAAAAAGAAGTTCTTATTCTTGTGCATTCATCCAATTGAAGGAATACCTTACCTTTTTACAGTATATATTGGGTTAAGCGCGACCTTCGGGCATACTTTTTTTTTTTTTTACCAAAAAGCTGTTTAGGCTTCCATTTATATTTTTCATTCTTTTCTGAATATGAGACTCGGAACTCCTCTTGAGATAGGTAGTGGCTGTTTTGATGCATGGTGAGTTTGTTGTAGAAGGTGAGAATAACGGACGGAGATTTAAAAAAACTATAATAATACATATTTGTGAGGAGGCCATAAGACACAGACCCATAGAAACTCCAGAGGTGGGATCAGGTGCCCAAGAGGAGTAAGCATCTCCTGTTAACCGGTCACACCCGCTGTTAGCCCCATGTATTAATCATCAGATAGACAAAACTATCCTTAGTCTAATTCCGTATAAAACAAAGGCCAAAAAATTGATAAGGAAGAAGTAAACCAATTTCGACACCAAATAGGTTATATTTGAAAACAATGTCAAATTAACGACTCCAGAGTTTACAAAATGCCAACTTTAAACGAGGTTGTTGAATTCACTTTGACAACTTATCAGTGTATAGCCTGCGTCGCTTCAATTTGAAAATTGATCATACTCAGAGTAAGCTCTTGAAAAGTGAATATTTTGGGAGAGATAAACACAATAAACATAAGATAGTGAAATATTGCAACATAAATATTGCTACATAAATAATGGCAGTTGATGGTGGAAAAGCTGAATTCATTTCGTTTTTCATACAACTTAGTTGTTATTTTGTCTTGTCAGTTAAAGATCTGAATATTAAACATATGTGGCAGACCCTGTGGTGTCTTTTATTTCCAGTTCACTTGGAAATATCGAGTCGACACATGTATGAAAACAAGTATTGTTAATTGATAAAACATCGTCAATAAATCTAAAAGTCGAACTGAAGGCCATAACAATGTTTTATGTTCAAAGTTTTTGATAAATTCTGCTTCATAAGAATGTAATAACAGCTCAGCTTATACATGTAAAGGAGCACAATTAGTGACCATCGGAATCTCAACAGTTTGTTAGAAAACTAGGTCTCCGAAGTCTACATAATTGTTGTCAATAAGGGACTTTTAACTAAGTAATATTGCTGATGACCAATCAAAAGATGTGAAAATTTGCGTGTTCGGTTTTTTTTTGGAGGGGGGGGGGGTGGAGAAGCAGATGTCTCTGATACCAAAAAGTCTAGATTTTAATTTATTATGAGGAATTGATGTAACAAGTACATGGATAATCTTCATATCAGATCTGGTAATTCAATCACGTGGAAAGATAAAATAAACTTTATCGTGTCAGTGTAACCCGACCTATACCCATACCTCCCTTTTTAAGAAGGACATTCTTCAAAATCATATGTCAGTTTTGATTATTTTTAATATTCCCAACAACCAAAATGAATATGAATAATTATATCTATATTAGATTCCGAAACTTTATAAAAATCCTTACAAACAAATTTACATAGCGGTTCCAGTAAATGTTCCATGATAAATATATTAAACGCGTAATACAGACCACACAAAGGAATGATTTAAACAAAATAAAGAGGATCAAATGACCATTAAAAATAATTGAAATCAGGTTGCAAATGGTTGCGTGAATTCTTTTCTACAAGTAATCGCAAGTGCTCTGCAGAGAAAAGGATAACGCTTTCAATCAGTGACAAAAGTATATTGCTACTATTACTTCACAGACAGCGCAAGGGGCAAAGAGTTAAGGGGGGTATTTATCCGTATAGCGATACAAATTCGAGTGTCTCTTTATGCTTCTAAATAGGTCATGAAGATATAAATCGCATGTAACTGAAGTCAGCAAAAAGATTTCAAATCACAACACTTTTAATCAGAAATCATAAATAAATAGATAAAATAACTGCCGTTTTATATTGTATATATATTTTTTAAAATTAAATATACTTATAAAAATGAAGTTTATTAAATATTTTTTTAACAATTTATCAATTTGAGTTAAACTATCCGCTAATTTTCCTCCTTATAGCAGAATTTGTAAATATTAAAAGATTTCTTCGTTTCCCTTTATTTAAAATGCATAAATGCATAATAGCGATGATTTGACCAACCAACAAGAAGATAAATATTCCTTCAATTATACTCCAATTTTATTCAAAGATTTTTCATTTAAACCATTCATAAAAACGCATATTTAACTCAAAGATTTATTATCAAAACTCGTTATATATAAAACACAAATGATGTCAATTTTTTTACCACATACAAGAGTAGTCTATTGAGTCATCCATAGTTTTATCCTTGACAATAGTAGTCTTTTGAATTATCCATTGCTTTACCATAGACAATGGCATTTTATTGAATTATCGATTGCATTATTACAGAATTCTATTGAAATATCCAACCATTTCTTTTCTCCTTTACAGTATGTATCTGTAAAGAAAGAAAGCACACTAAATAGAAAGATTAACAAGAAAGTGTAACCTTCTACTGCTTAAACTCGCAATTTCTGATTATAAATTAAACAATTTTAATGTAAATTTATCAGAAAAATAGACAATGTATAGAAAGAATGACAGATGTTTACCTAGTGACGTCTTATCAACATCATGGTCCTCCTCACAGATGTCCCACTCTTTACTGTAGGATACCAAGGAGAGACCCAGACTGCCGGATACCACTGACCGTTGAGGAAGGCGTAGTGACAGGCGTTGAACCACCAACCTCCTTCCCAAGTCACAGCACAACTAGCTCCACTTCTGTCGTTATCTCTGTCGTGGGTGGTGAAGTACATCCCATAGATATCAATCACAGAATAAGGAGTGTCAAACATTTTGTCACCTGCAATTGTAAAGGTAATACGTGAATTATTACTAAGAGTAATGTAGTCTCATTATTTTTTGTTAATATTCTCTTCTTAAAATTAACTGAAATATATAAAATTCTTTCATTAAGCGGCAATTTAACATTAGTATTTGAGAATGTCAACTAGTAATGCAATAATTTATGACATTAAGCGTTGCATTCCAATGCTTAATGATATTTCTATATTTCATAAACACTAAATAAAAAAATACCAAAATGTTCTTTTAAACATTTAGAATGATTCATTTCTTTAATAATTCTCTTTCTCTCTCTCTCTCTCTCTCTCTCTCTCTCTCTCTCTCTCTCTCTCTCTTGCATTGATAGTCATATTATTTACATATTACTCACCCTCCAAAAAGGAATCTGTAGTTTTCTGTTTCATCATAAATAGAAAACTGTTGATAGACTTCATACAAAGTTCTGCCATTTCGTAATGTAATGGAAACGTATAGGGAAGAGTTCCTTCCCTTTGTCAGCTGGTGAATAGCGTCATTTCCTACAATATGTCAATTTTAGCGCTAAATATGAAAGGAATATTTTAAATTGTAGGAGCATAATATGCATTCTAAAGGTTAATATATCTGAATTTCAGGACTGCCTAACTTTAATAAAATCATTTATATGGATACATGTATGTCATAAGTGAGAAATAAATGTGTTTAATTGCTGATTTGTAGGAACAAGATACTATAACATATATTTTGAAATGAATTTTAATTCATAAAATTACATTCGTTGATATATCAACAGAAACAATAAATGGATACTGTTTAAGATATTTAATGTGTAAGTATTTACCAATCCAGTAAGAGTCGTAAGCGCTCCCGAACCCATTCTTGTACTCCACCCACGTTCTGTTAAAACTCACTGATCCGCTCACCCGTTTCTGAATTGCCTTTGGGTTAAAAAAGAAACAAATGCTGAGTTTACAGCATTATTTGTTTCTTATTTTGTTATTTTATAGAAAACTCAAATTGTAATTTTTAAAAAAAAAGGTTTAGATAGATAGAAAGAGAGAAAGAAAAAAAAAGACAGAGATCTTACTGTCCACCCTCCGCCTTCTGTCACCATATCACAGTACACGTCTATCTGACTCTCATTACCGAAGGGACTAATTTTATATACACCGGACTATGTTTGTCCTTGTAGATAGTGGTCCTTACAATCTGCAAATAGTTTTAAATCTATATAGCAAAAGATGCAAATAATAATAATAATAGAGAGAAAGAGAGAGGGCATACCTTTTTTAAAGGTTTGCAATGTTCTGTTATATAGAAAATCGTTAACTTCGACGATGTTTCTATAAAATTCTGTTCAATTTCCTGAATCTTTTTCTGCCAATTCTTGTTTTCTATTGTCTGCTCCTGAGCCAGAGAATCAAACTTTCTTTGTAATGTTTCTACCTTCCGTTGTAAAGCGTTATCCTGACTTAGATTAGTAAACTGTCTTTCTAATGTTTCTATTTTCTGCTCCAAAGTTTTGCCCTGTCCTAGAGTATAAACCTATCTTTGTAATGTCTCTACTTTCTGCGCTAAAGTAGTGTCTACAATTAACGAATCAACCTGTCCTTTCAGTGTATTGAGAGTCTGCTGTAGCGTGGAGTCAATCGTATCTGTAGACGCCATGCTTCGCTTCACAGAATTAACGTCGTCTACTACTGTCTTACAGTCCCTGAAACGTTCTACTTTCCAATTTTTCCGTTCGCTCACCGTTCGTTTACCGTTAGCTCTCTGTTCACAGTTTTGCGTTCTGCGTTCACCGTGCGCTCGCGTTCACCGTTCACAAAGCGTTCAGCGTTCGCTCTACGTTCGTTCACTTTGCGTTCACCTTGCGTTCAGCGTTCACTTATCGTTCAGTCTTCACTGTCATTCGGAACTTCGAAGTGAAAGGACTTATCTTTTTTGAAAGTAAGGATTTACAGGATTTGAAATTTAATAATTAACATATCGTGTTTAAAGGATCATTATTTCACGGAAAAAAAGTTTTCTACAGTATGTTTTATTAATATTCTAACTTAGCTGTTGTGTTATTTATTAAATTACTCTGGAAATAAATGTTGTTATAAGTATGTACCTTTGTAGAACGATGCTGAAAAATTAAATTTAAATACAGACAATATAAGAGTACTTCAAGCACTGCAACATTTTGTTGTTATGTTAAAGACGACAAATCGTTAATCGAGAGATACTAATCCATGTCAATTAATTTACCAACTGCAGCAAAATTACGAAAGTATTTATTACTAACACGGTTTTTTTTTCAATTACTATAGAAATAAATTATTAAAACTAGTTCTGGGAATCATAAATAGTACTGCAGATATCCTGTTAATTAAATATCTTTGGAGCAAATTAAATTGATAGTATGGTTAAAAAATATTTATTGAAATGTAATACACTACAATTCATATATAAAGTCTTTTGTTAGAGAAAAAGAATTCATTTCACAACAATAACTTAATATGTTTGCAATTCAATATGATTAAGACCCCCCCTTTCACCTAAATCGGTTACTTAGTCATCATTTCCAGTATATCTTAATTAATATCTAAAAAGATGTTAACGCGTTTTGTAGCACAAAAATCTCAGTCAAAAAAAAATGCATCAAAATAAAGTCATTAAACAATAGTAGTTCAAAATATACACGTGCCAACGGTGGTATTTTAATTGGCCAGGGAGTATGTTTCAAATTCATTCCAAGTGTTCATGCCCAGTGTATTTTATTTATCTATTAGAAAAGATGGAATCAGATCTAGACTTGATAAAAAATGTTAAAACTTCTTGGACATACTACGGTGTAGCACTTCGCCTTTGGTGTAACGAGACTTTCACACCTGCAGTGTCGAATGATTTTGATTGACAGGACAAACAGGTCTTCCTGTGAACTTAAAGCAGGAAAATAAAATTATGACTGTCAAACAAAATGAATTTGTTGATAAAAAAAAATGTTAATTTCACTGCCTGCCTCATTTTGATAAAAATTAAGAATTTTTGTTGATGCAGGTACCTGTACATGTACCTACATTTGTTGGAAAGGGGGGTTAAACGGAAGCTAGCATTCTCCATCTCTCTTTCTCTCTCTCTCTCTCTCATTTGTCCGTTGAATCAAAACTATGGCAAGTATTACTTAAATATCAAGTTCTGAAATTTTAATCTATAACAAATAATATGAATGCTTCTTTGTATCATCTTGCCCGAGTATAATCACAGGGAATTGTCTACAAACACATGTAGAAGTCTGCTTAATAAATCATCATTAAAAAAATGAAAAGACATAAATATACAGTGTATTATTGCATTAAATTTTTAAAATACGAGTGTATATACGCAATACGTATACGCAGCTATGTTAAGGCTTCCCGAAGCTTTAAAACGCGCTCAAAACATAATATGTCATTACGAGGTCGGTTTTGGTTTTAATTTATAAGTACTGAACTTAAGTACTTCCAATTTATATAGAGGGTTTCCTCGGCTACATATTAACATATTTGTTATGGTATCACATGACTTTGTTGATCACGTGACGGTCATTTATAATTTTTTGAAGTGTTTCATATAAATCGCTTCGGCGCAGGTGATTAACACAATAATTATTAACATTTTGTTATATAAGTAAACTCATCGTATCCTTGTGTATCCGAAATGTGCTTGGGAAAAGTTATACTATTACTTAGATACAAAATATTTCCTGAGAAATTCAACTTACCTACAAATTTGAGGGTATCTTCCACACAATATCGTAATCTGTATTAAAACAAAGCCAACACACATTTTTCCCAAGCAAGATTCAGTTAGAGAACAACCTCTTCTTACAGATTTCCACAAAAATTCTCAGATTAATCCTCATTAATCACCTGCGCCAGACGCTTTTATACACACAAAATAAATTCTACCTCCAACCACGGGTATAAAACAGAGTACATTTCAAAAGTATATTTTTCATAAGCATTTTGAACATGCTGAATTTCAATCAAGGGTAGGTAAGCGGTGTATTTTTAAAATATTCGGACATATAAGACTTAAAAAACCTTTAACAACCCGTGAATTTTGCAATAGCTATCTAGCATTTTACATGCAGTTTGAAATAAAGTGTTAAGTTCATGACACTCTCCCCGTCATAACACCTCAAGTTTGCAGAGACTTGACGTCATTTTCCATTATGACGCCATATTTTAGTAGTTCAGAGATGTGAAGGCACAGAGTGCACTGTGATATTCTACGGGAAGCCTTAACCTACCTGCGTATGGAAATACACGGAAATACATTTATGGTTGCTACAACCGTCGTTATTCATTCTATAAGTCAGTAATGACCTCTTCGAAAATCATTATTTGCAATGGTTTTATATATCAAATAAGAATAAACATATTTATTTTACAACTGGAATAATTTTATCTTTTAAACTACAGCATTCGGTAACAATGACAATGTTTTACAGTGATAAAAATCGTGTGATTAAACAGGTGAATTTAAGCATCATACATATGTGCAGAAAATATTGTAAGAAACTTAATTAATAGTTTTACTTAATACGCATGTTTTGTCTTTCTTAGGACAATTATTGAATATTTATTTATTTATTTTGCGCCTGACATTAGAATACAATAGAATAGAGACAATGCATGGAAAAAATCAGATGCATTCCGAATAAATCGTTTATCTTGCGTTCACCGTTCGTCACGTTCACTTTGCTCTTGCGTTCGCGCTCCGTTCGCGTTCTGCGTTCGCTCACCGTACAGCGTTCACCCATTGTTCACCAAGTTGCGTTCAGCGTTCACACATCGTTCACTCACCGTTCGCTCTGCGTTCGCTCACCGTTTGCTCTGCGTTCGTACAGCGTTCGCTCACCGTTCAAGTGGGAAAGTAGAACGTTTCAGGGACTGTAACATTCTTGACCACGGCTAACCGGATAAGGGTCTCTTGGTTGATGATCTGCCGAAGAAAATCGATTTCCTTTATGTCACGTCTTTCATTGATCAAAGCCGTAGAGTTCGGGTCATAAGTGCCGGTTAACAAGGACCCCGTTCTGACTTGTGACATTGATATAAAAAGCAGTAACAGAATGGAAAACATCATATTTTCAATTTCGATGTGAAATAACCAGAACAGAACAATATTGTGTCTCAATCAGAGATATAGAGACGTTTGGGGATTTCCGAAATCTGAAGATGACATACAGTATACTGAAAAGAGATGTCTGGGTATTTCTCAAAAATGCAGAATGTAAAAACAATACTGATTGACATTACTTAATGAAGTAAGACTGGAATCACTTACACTGGGCCAAAAAGATAACATAATTATCTCATAGATTGTTTCTGATTACATCATTAACTTGTTTTCTAGACGAAATGATAAATGATAATAGAGCCAAAAGTACTTTAGCAATAGAAACTCTGCAGTTCTCTGTAGATTAAAGAAGCAAAGGAATTTTTACAACCACATGCTAAGTATTAACTTCCCGATTAAATATATAATTTATTTCTGGAAAGCAGTGAGAAAGAACATCTTAATCTGACATTAGTTAAGATCTGCTATATTCAGGTCAAGTGTTTGTAGTTTCTGATATTATATCGATATCTATATCAACATGTATTGTGGGTTTCTGTTGTTAACTTAACTCCCCTACGCATATTTTGCTTGTTTATTGATCAAATGTTTTACCTGATTAATTTTATATTGAAATTTATATTTAATTTTTAACATTTATATTATCGTAGTAAGTCAATATTAACTCGACCTGAAAGTCCCAACCATAACCTTGAAAAATTAAGTGAACAAAATGTATGAATTGTAAGGAGCATGTTATGTTCTTTTTTTTTTAACTGAACACATAATGAAAACAACCGAAATGTCAAATACACAGCTAATTGTGCCACGTACGTGTAACATATGGTAGCACATACCATATGTTACACATACGTGAAATGTACGTAACACATACGTGTATTCCAACCGCACGTTACACGTACGTGGTATAACGTATGGATAACGTGCGTGTGACAACATACGTTTCACATAACGTACGTGAAACGTGCGGTTGGAATACACGTACGTGTTACGTACCTTTCACGTACGTGTTACATATGGTATGTGCTACCACATGTTACACGTACGTTTATAAACGTTTACATGTGTATTGTCAACCACACGTTACACATACGTTAATGAACACGTGGTTTACATATGTATTGTCAACCATATGTTACACATACGTTAATAAATGCACGGTTTACATGTGTATTATAAACCACACATTACACATATTTCACACACAGGGTTTACATTTATTATCAAACACACATACGTTAATATATGCATGGTTTACATGTATTAAAAACCACACATTACATGTACGTTAATGACAAGTATGAGTGTTATCAGCTATGTTACATGTAGGTTAATAAAAATTGTTTTACATATGTGTGAAAAGCTGGCTGTGTTTGAGAAGGCTGTATATTTTCTATATTAATGGTACTTTTACATACATGTACGATAAATGTAGGTCAACTATAATTAAATTCAATCCTTTTTATTTTTTTTAGTTTCAATTTCGTTTAATTAATTAGTAAAATTATTAATTAATTTTTGTCAATAAGTGAAAAAAATCCCTAAAAGTTTTATTGTTGCTGGGACTATATAATATTCTTTAATTGGTGACATTTTCAAATACAGGAACTTTTTGTACAAAAGGACACCTCAGAGCAAATACTTTTTTTACTTAATAGTTCAGAGTGAATTTGGAGAACTAATCAAGATAATGTTTAACAATCAATAACCTGCAATTCATGAAACAGAGTATTACAACCAACTTGGTCCAAGTATAAAATCCCTCTTAAAACAGGACCCTAGATCATAAGTTGCGTGGATTTTAATCATTATACTGTAATATATTTTAAAGATTTAACTATTTTTTTTTTCAAAAAAAATAATATCATATCATGATCTATGATAATGATGATTAAAACCCAATCACCTCTGAAAGCTCACAGGTGTGTGCATTGTTGACTTGTTGTGCGTGTTTTGCGTCTTTGATGTTCCAATTTATTTCACATTGTTTACCTTACGTCCACTTGCATGTCTGACATGGAGTAATCAGTTCGCATTGGTGTACAATTTACTCTTAGAGCAGTAAAACATAGTCTACATACAAGTACACCAATCTCGTAATGTGTATATCGGATATCGGTAGAGGCACATAAAATTGAACTCGATCATCGGTAGATATAATCATTCCGAATTCAGGAGCAAAAGCTGAATTTAAAAAAAAAGAAAATCACGATAATTTCACAACAGAACTCAAATGGAATTCACCTAAATAGATATTACATAATTATACTGTTGGTAGCGTCCGTATAACACTAAATATGTAAAATGTACGTTCCGGAATTTTCACCGACGATTGTTATTTACGTTACGGTGACGTCACTGGTAAGAAGTCTGACGTCTGCAAGACAGTGTCTGGAGTCAGGTTAGGAAAAACGGTGAGGAATATACATAACATCAACAGTTATTTATTTACTTTATATTTCAAACTGTGTTGCATGTAAACTAACGGGTGTGTTTCTTTTATTTTAGTGTATAACATAATGTAAACTTAGTTTACCAAATAAGTAAGAACATATTGACGCAGTCAACTGTCTTGGTCAGAACCCCAGCCCAGGTGTGAATCAACACTGGCACATTATATCAAAATTCAGGTGAGGTATAAAACATACTGTTATAAAAAATATTTATTGTAAGATTTTTTTTAGCCTACCAATAAGATGCAATAAAACCCTTGATGGAAAAAGTTCCACCCACCCAATGTATTTCTTTACAAAACATGTAGAGGAAATATAAATTATCTTTTGGGCAATAAGGGTGTAACACTTATTTTTCAGATGTCTTTTTCATACAGTCCTTATGAATATAAATAATGTATTTAGAGATTGTGATTTTAAATGTACACTCCAGGATGGTGGCTGAAGCTCATCTCCTATGTAAACACCTAAATGCCAAGTCTGGACTTCAAAAACAGATTCTGAAAGTTTAACCAGCATTATGGTAATACTCTTAAAAAAGAAATCAAATTTTCTGATCCCACTGCTTTTAGACTTGCAATTTAATACACAATATATCATGTAATGATGTGCCTTACATTTCAATCACAAGAGGAGAAAATGTTAAATGTTATCAGTAAAATAAGTAATTTTTCATATTGTTTGTTTTGCTTTACAAGTCTGAAATGCAATTTTTTTAAAGATATATTTTCTTTTTTTACCCCAAGGACAAAAAGTATACACTTCGAACAGACACAAAAACATATAGGTCCATGCCAAGCTGTGAAAGATTTATGTTGAGGGTAAGTTCTATTATTACACAGAATTTAATTGTCAGACATATGGTTATGTCTAAAATTTTACTGTTGTATTTATATCAGTGATAAGCAATATTTTGCACCTGAGCTGACTTACATGTAATCACAAAAAAATGTTATAACTAATTAGGTAACCTGAGTCAGTCATGACCTATTGCTTTCTGTTTTTAGCTCACCTGAGCTGAAAGCTCAAGTGAGTTTTTGCTGATCACATTTTGTCTGTAGTCTGTTTGTCTGTCTGTAAACTTTCACATTTTCGACTTCTTCTCCAGAACCAATGGCCTATTTCAACCAAACTTGCCACAAACCATCCTTGGGTAAAGGGGATTCAAGTTTGTTCAAATAAAGGGCCACACCCTCAATAAAAGGGAGATAATTACGAAATAGTGAAAATTTATGGGATGTTTTAAAAATCTTCTTCTCAAGAACCAGTGGGCCAAAAAAGTTGAAACTTAAAGGAAACCTTGTATGTCAAAGTGTAAATTCAAATTTGTTTAAATCATGAGCCCCAGGGGTAGGTTGGGGCCACAATGGGGGATCAAAGTTTTACATAGGAATATATAAGAAAAAATCTTTAAAAATCTTCTTCTCAAGAACAGCAAAGCCTTGTTTAGTCATATTGATAAGGAAGCATCATCAAGTAGTGTAGATTCAAGTTTGTTCAAATCATGACCCCCCAGGGGTAGGGAGGGGCCACAATGGGGGATCTATATGTTACATAGGAATACATAGGAAAAAAAACTTTAAAATTCTTCTTCTCAAGAATAGCAAAGCCATGAATAGTCATTTTGAAATGGAAGCATCCTCAGGCTGTGTAGATTCAAGTTTGTTTAAATCATGATCCTCTGGGGATAGGACTGGACCATAATGGGAGATCAAAGTTTTACATAAGAGTATATAGGAAAAAATCTTCTTCTCAAGAACAGAAAAGCCATGATTAGTCATGTTTATATGAAAGCATCATCAGGTAGTGTAGATTCAATTTTGTTCAAATCATGAACCCTCGGGTAGGGAGAGGCCACAATGTGGGGATCAAGTTTTTACAAAGGAAAAAATCTTTAAAAAATTTCTGCTCAAGAACAACAAAACCATCTGTTATATTAATATTTCTTATGACCTGAGGGTGTGTCATCACCTTGACCCAAGGTCATTTGGGTAAGTTCAAGGTCACTGACAGAAAAAAATCATAATTCGTGTTTACACAAAGATTGCTTATGACCTGAAGGTGTGTCATGACCTTGACCCAAGGTCATTTGGACAAGTTCAAGGTCACTGACAGAAAAAGTTTATAATTCATGTTCGGTCCGTATCTTTCCTATGGAGAATAATTATGGATGTTGGGAGTATCCACTTCACACAAAGATTGTTTATGACCTGAGGGTGTGTCATGATCCTGACCTATAGTCACGTACTGTAGAAAACATGGATAAATAATGCATCCATACTTTCCAACAGAGAAATACATGAAAAATTGTTATTAATTTTTCAATGTAATAAAAAACAATATTATTATTAGTATTGCTGTTTTACTAGGCTATGCCAAAGTTTCATTCATTAAAAAAATATAATGAGCAATTACTGGT